ATCACCCACAAAAACGCGGAGACTCTTTTGGACTCTGTCAAGGCTGGAAAGTGAGGGCAGGGCATCTCCTGTCTAAAGATAGCACAAGTACTTCATTTTCGGTCTGATCTGGCTCTTGTGATGTTAGAGGATAGCAAGAAGAGTTAGGTACTTACTGGAGCGGTACAGGGAACGGACCATTTTCCCGGGCATCTTTAGTGATTTATCGTATGTTCCACTTAAGGTCTGGGTTGAGTTTAAGGCTCAATAGTCGCTCAAGGCACGGGGCTTCCCTAAGGGAGTATTCATTCATCGTGACTGGTGGTAATTCAGGCTACGTTCGGCGATGATGGAATATAATTAGTTTGGTTTTCAAGGCACTGAATATAACCAGCCAGTCCTCTCACCCAACCTGAAATCTTAGAACAACAGGGTGTCCCTAAATTCTGGACACATAGGAAATCTCATTAGCTATAATTGTTTCTATATCCACAGATTAAACATGTCTTCATGACTCATATTTAATATTTTTATTGTATTTTTCAAATTTTCGAATAATATGGCGAGTACTGTGCGTCTGTTTTGTTCGATTACTTTCGGCCATCTCGGTCATTTTCAAAAAAACAATGGGTGACTGTATCTTTTTCTTTTTATGTGCCATGTCTTTTCAAGGTGTAGGCGATTATGGCTCTCCACCTCCCTCTATCTCTTGCAGCTCTCAATAAGTTCCTTCCCTCTGCTTCCTCCCCCAAAGACCACGTTCTGTCATTCACTTGCTTAAGCCCGACAGGTATGTCACGCGTTGTTTTCACTTGTCTCTTTCCCTCTATTCAACCCGTGAGTATCAGATTCTCCAGGCCCTCCTTCCTCATTATGTGTCCCAGAAACTTTAGCTGCTTTTTCCTGATGTTAAGTATAAGCCTCCTCCTTGTTTGCAACCTCTCTAAGACCTCATCGTTACTCACACGGCCGGTCCATTATATCCTTAACATCCTTCAGTAGAACCACATCTCCGTCGCCTCGTGTCTCTTCTTCATCTTTGAGGAAATCGTCCACTCCTTTGTCTAATTTCTGGTATTATTTGGTAAGCTGCAAGTTTGAAATAGTCTGTGATATCATGTGTAATGGTTATTGGGAGCTGGGCTGCACCGAAAAGGATGCGATTTTATATATATATATATATATATATATATATAATAAGTTTTATGTATTTCGTTAACAATCTGACGACCAGGGTAACTCGGGAAGTTGACTCCTTTAAAGGAAGCAGTCTTTGTTAGTCTCGGTATTGGCAACTTAAATGGGTGTTATTATTCTATCTTGACTTCATGCACTTTAATTACAAACGCTGCTTGACTTAAATATATTACATTCCAGAATGACCCGGGTTTTTTTTTTTTTTTTTTTTTGAAAAGTTTTTGGAAAAAGTACGATTTTGTCTGTTTGTCTCTGGGTATATAATTAATGGCTATTTATTTATTAATCCTACATATTTCTATTACATCAAACTTTATTTTTAATGGATGTCCATGTTTCATGGATGTCCAGTAGACGCTTCGTTTATTTCATACAGTATTTAACTTCGTTTTAACATTCGAGAAATCTTAGTAAAGCAAAATGCTCACTCTAGCAGGAGAATTTGATCCGACGTCCTTTTGACTATTCGGCTACAAAGAGCTTCGTAGCCAAGCAAGGTTCTCTGTGCTTTGAGGCAGAACTACGATTTTGTTTTTGTTTTTAATAATTTTTTGTGTATATTATTGAAATATGCAATGCAGCATAAATCGTTTGTAGAATGAGAAAGACCAAATTCTTGCTAATCGATATTTCAGAAAATATTGATAGATATAGATAAAAAAAAAAAAATAGCTCCCAGTCATTCATCGATCCATCACCTTGACTGGGTGAGCAATCAACCACGTCGCTCTGGCTGACATCTCCTTTCAGCAATGATAAGGATCACGCTTTCGACACTCACTTTGACACATTTGTCCACTGACGCAGATTTAGTATGTGGCTGTTAAAAAAAAAAAAAATCATCATTTATGCAGTAGACGTCGCCGATGGCAGAGTTGCCACTGATGACGTCTGTGGTTGTTCACAGTAATGGCGTCTCGCTAGTGAAGTTGGTGAGTGCAATTTCGATGGGGGTTGGTTTGATGTTAGCAGCCGTTGATTGACAGGTTCAGATCAAGGAGTGAAACGGAAATTGTTCGATGTAGGATCGAATGTATTATATTTGAGTCAACACCGCCCATAAGTCTCTACCACCTCTAGTCGAAAACCAAATGCAAGCAGACTAAAGCAACATGTCCGCCTATTTTATACACACACACGTTATATATATATATATATATATATATATATATATATATATATATATATAGTCAGTCGGAGTTTCTACCCCTTAAGCTATCAACACTCGACAGAGAAAAACTGCTAATTATAGAATCTTTTTTTTTTTTTTTTTCAAATATAAAAAAACACCCATATATATATATATATATATATATATTAATTACACTTCATTTCCGCCCACAACTGAAACAGCCGCCTACCGTTTCTTTGTTTATTTTTATTTTTCGACTAAATCTCGGAGTATTCAACGCTGATTTACAAGAACGCCCTGAGGCTAATTACATGCGTAGAATCCGATCCATCCCGTGTCTGCTCCATTATTGCAGCAAGACGTGGGTCTAATCTGAGTAGGTCTTTAAACGCCTACTGCAAATCATTAGCTATGAAACTCACGACATAACTTCCGCTGAGCTGGCTATTGAATTCATTGATAGTGAGAAGTTTTCGTAAATTATCGCTCAACTTAGACCAGCATGGCGCACTGCTACTACGACGAATCTCCAAGCGAAGATTCAACTCGCCACAAAAGAAAAGACTGTAGGAATTGGTTATTGAATTGAATCGGGGCTACACTGAGTCCCCCTCCCCAAACCATAAACTTGCTCGACTTAACCGAGCTTGACGGACGGTGTGCTGTTATCATGGTGCACTCAGCGAAGATCGAACTTGCAGTGCAAAAAAGATGAGCTTGTTACTCGTGTCTCCGCTTTCTCCTTGCGAGCGCTTAGCATTGTTTCGAAAATACGTTAACTTGGTAGGGACTGTTTTATTGTTCTTTGGTTTCTTCTGCCTTCTCTCGGGACTTCAAAACGAATGTTTCAGAAATTTATCTCAATAACGCCTGCCGAATCCATCCTGTCTTACATAGGATATCGCCAAATCTCTATCTATAAAAGGCTGTGTGTGTGTGTGTGTGTGTGTGACGAAAGCACGGCCGCAAGTTTCGACGGATTTGCGCCAAAATTTACATGCATATGCTCCAAGTTAGCGGGAAGGCCAAGACCGACTTTGCATTTCCCAACTCCCATCGATGAAATAATCGATTTTTTTCATGCTTCTACGGCAGTTTTCATGTAGTTTGCGGCCATTTTCTACTAGCCAGGCAGGAAGATTCTATTGGCCAGCGTGAGAGTCAACAGCTGACTGACACGAATGTTAACTAGCATGCTCGCATGCAAAGAGAAAACTTGATAGTTGCATTCGTCGCAAGTGGGAAAAATTTAAATGTGCATGGCACTTAACTCCAACTGGCTCATTCGCTTGCTTAAACTCAACGTTGATTCTGATTCCGCAGAACTGGGTTGGGTGTGAAAAAGTATTTAACATTCTTTTTTCATTCGGTTTTTCCAGTTACGAGTCCGTTTTTAAAGCTGATCGTTTTGTGTTCATTTTGTTCAGTTCTTTTTTCGTTACAGATTTAATGTTTAGTATAGAGCTTAGAAAAAATTCGCAGTGTGAGATAGGCAAGAAGTAAGTCATGTAGCAACATCATCACGGCAAAGGGCACTCCTTTAAAGGCAAGGAAGGGCAAAAATATTTTAAGTCAAGTGATAGCGATTGCTGTACGAGTCGTACGAGTTTTGAATCGAGCACGGCCATAAATAAATAATTTCATTTTCAAATCTATAGACTGACACAGCACCTTTCAATACCTGGAGTCCGTGTGTTGCTTCGAAAATAGCCGCATATTAAAGGTTAAAGAGTCGCATGTGGCTCACGAGCTAAGCTCCTTTGTCATCACATTTAATATAAAAATGTAAATAAGAAAAAATGTAATTTTGTCCATGTCTTGCGGCTTTTAAACATCTTAAATTTATCATATGTGGCTTTAACATTAAGCTAGTTTGGCCTTCCCACTTGCACGAGCGGCATATTAAATGTTAGAGCCGCTGTCTGGCCACCCCAGTTCCATGGTCACATCTAACCTCCCGACAGGTATTTCCTTAATTATGTAGAGCTACAGTATCCCTACAGGAAATGGAGATAGATGTCTGCTACTCCTCGTGCAGCCTTAGTGACCCCTCTCTTCTAAATTGGTTCTCTCGGACGAGCGAGCTTGTCTTGGTGTCTGGGCCGCTTGCTAGAGCTTGACGTTTCCGGCTCAAGAATTTCAGTTGCTTTGATTCTTCGGCAACAATCTCATTTAGTAACCATCTACCTTGAGTGGCTCTTGGGCCTTGTATTGAGTGAAAGTTAAAGGACGTTTTTGCTTTGAAGATTATTATAATCTAACGCTGTTACCGCTAATCGGCCTTTTGCCATACTATGCCATTTCGTCATTGCTATTATCTTTGGAGGTCTTCGCCTTAGAATCATGAACTACTTTTGTCATTTCTTTGCGCCACAATGCCATAATTTTACTTTCACTTCCGCCTCGTCGCCGAAATATGGTAAATCGAACGACCAATTAAGAGAATCGATGTGCTGCGGCGTCCGTTTAATCAATTCTTCGAATTATTCGTTGACGACTGACCCTAAAACCTCCCTACCGTTTCACTTGCTCATTGATGGCCCGTCAGTCCACTGCCCACCTCCCCTGACACCCCCCCACCCAGCAACTTCCTGGCAGCCTTCTTTTTCCTTTTCTTTCCCACCGCAAAGCATCCATTTGTCGAACGTGTAAATTCGCCCTCATGTCTGATGAGATTTCTGGATGAGTTTCGTCATCTGCACACCGGGCACGGACGCTGAAAACCGATCACAGTGCGAAGGGAGACGATGGAAGCAGGGGGGGGGGAAAAAGAGGGACGCAAGAAGATAGAGGAAGATGAGAGGAAAGTAGAAAGACAAAGAGAAGTAGAAGGAGGGGGGCGAGAGGTTATGAAAGAGAAAATAGATGAGAAGGCATAGGATAGGCAAAGGGATAAAAAAATGGAAAGGTGAAAAGTCAAAAGAAATGAAGGGAGAGTTGGATGGAGAAGTCCAAGGAAGTGGGGAAAAGAAGTTAGAAACTTTGGAGGAGGGGAGAAAGTGTGGGGAAAGTCGGAGGAAGGTGAAAAAAGGTGATATAGAAGGAAAGGAGGAGGAAAAAGAAAAGCACCGGTGTAGATAAGCGGTAATTGAGAAAAAGAGAGAAGGAGAATTTCACTGGAGAGGCGGAGGAAGAAAAAGAAAGACTGATTAAAAAATATATATATAAATGGTGGTGGGGAGAGGCGAAAGTTAAAAAAAAAAAAAAAAAAGAAAATATTATGGTAAGAGAAGGGAAAACAGATGGAGGAAACAAAGAAGGGAGAGGAAGGTGAGAGGAAAGAAAGACAAAGTGGTAGAAGGGGGAGAGGTTATGAAAAAGAAAATAAGAAGTTCATAGGATAGGCAAAGAGATAAAAAAGGGGAGGGGAGAGGTGAAAAGTCAAAAGAAATGAAGGGCGATTGTGCCATGGTAAGAGAAGGGAAAACAGATGGAAGAAAATGAGGTGGTGGTAGAAGCAAAAACAGGAAAGAAAAAGAGAAGAGCCAAAAAAGAGAAAGGTGATGGGAATGTGAGAGAAAATGGCAGTGGAAGAGACAAATCAGATAAGGAAGAGTCGAAAAAATGAAAAGGAGAAAATAACATGGGACAGGGAAGTGATCGGAGAAACGCATAAGAGAGAAAGAAACAAACGAAATCTGACCCCCCAAAAAAAAAAAAAATGGGAAACAAGCGAAAGAAGAGAAAATTGTGGAAATAAAGAACGATAAAAGAAAATATCGGGAGCTCAATACATTAAAAAAAAAAAAAAAGTCGTCCAATGAACATCGAAATATCTCCAAAGAAAGTGAAAGAGGTGATTGTGAAACTAATAACATTTTATAGCAAGATACACGAGATCTTGTTTAAAGCGTGACTTCAACAAAATCACGTGTGTTCGTGCGTGCTACAGATTCTTATCTAGAAACTTCTGATACCTACAAGCGAATATGATATCTGAGACCTTGGACTAAATTCTTAGGCAAATACCATATTCGATGGCATACAAGACATGTTTGTTTGTTTGATTTTTTGGGGTTTTTTTTTTTTGGTTTTTTTTAAACAAAAACAAATGTTTCAAATATCCCTTGAAGTCATGCATGCAAAGTTGAAGTATCTCGTAAGGTAATGTTTACGCAGACGCCATAAATTTTCGTTACTTACAACTTGCTTAACTCTATTGTAATATTTAATATAAAAGTAACAGCGAGTCTCTAAGATTCCATTGAATACAGCACGTGTTCTTTCATCAGTTCAAGCACTTTTTGGAAAAAATGTGATCGGAAAAAAAACACATGTATAGCTCGTTCTCTTTAAACCGGCACCTTTGGGCCCAGGTCACATCCTGACAACAGAAATGCCTGCATTTTATATAAGAAATGGATAGTGGCTCGGATTGAGGAATCTGAGACCCGAGTTCGAATTCCAGTCGAATCCATTACGTTCACTTACGTGCAAATATCTTTGGTATGAATCCTTTTCTTCTTACCCCCCCCCAGCTATG